ATCTCCCTCCCCTTCCCTTTCTTTCCTTTGCCCTTTCTAACACCATATCTCCCTTCTCTTCTCACCCCTCCCCTCCCTCTCTTCCCTTTTCTTTCCATTGTATCTCCCTTCCCTTCCTTTCCCTCTTACTTCCATCGTATCTGCCTCCCCTTTCCTTCCCTTCCCGTTTCTTCCATCATATCCTTTCCCTTTCCTTTCTTTCCCTCTCCCTTCTTTCCATCAAATCTCCCTTTTCTTCTCTCCCCCTCCCTCTTCTTTCCATTGTATCTCCCTTCCCTTCCTCTCCCCTCCCTTCCTTTCCCTCCCCCTTACTTCCATCATATCTCCCTTCCCTTCCTCTCCCTTCCATTGTATCTCCCTTCCCAACCCTTCCCTCCCCTTTCTTCCATCATATCTCCCTTTCTTTTTCCCCTTTCCCTTCCTTCCATCATATCTTCCTTCTTTTCTTACCCCTCCCTCCCTTCCCTCCCCCTTCTTTCCATTGTATTTCCCTTCCATTCCCCCTTTCTTCCATAATATCTCCCTCCCCTTCCTTCCTTCCTTCCTTCCTTCCTTCCTTCCTTCCTTCCTTCCTTCCTTCCTTCCTTCCTTCCTTCCTTCCTTCCTATCTCCCTTCCCAACCCCTACCCTCCATCATATCTCCTTCCCTTCCCCTTCCTTCCTTCCATCATATCTCCCTTCCCTCCTCCTTACTTCCATTTTATCTCCCTTTCCTCTTCCTTCCATCTTATCTCCCTCCCCTTCCCCTTCCTTTCCTCTCCCATTCTCCTCCCATCTGCATCAACCTGCTCCTTTTCATAACACTTGGGAGGGATCTGGCAGGCCATTGGAACCAACATTGAAGGACTCCCTATTCTTACACCAAAAGACTCTTGACAAATGGTGATTGCTTGCATGCATCTGAAAAAGGGAACCTATCACCTGTCTGGGAAATTGGTTCTACTGTCAAATTGCTCTTGTGGTTATGGAATTTCTCCCCTCACTTTCAATAGGAATACATCTTTCTGCCATTATTTCAAGTTCTCCATGCTGGCAGAAGAGGTCTTGATCCTCCTACTTGGCATGCTTGCTGGAGTTGTATCATACTCAGTGGTGAGATTCAGTCAGTTCGCACCACTTGGAGAGAACCGGTTGTTAACTTTTTAAGCAGTTTGGTGAACTGGTTGTTGGAAGAACTCATTTGGGCAGAGAACCAGTTGTTAAATTATTTGAATCCCACCACTGACCATACTGTATATTATATATACGCTCAGGGTATTATCACATCCAGCCCAGCTATCTTTTGTCAAGCTAAGCCTCATCTTCAGTCTTCTCCCCTCTCTCCTTCTATTTTCTTCTTATTTTTCTTTCTCTGTTGCAAGGTGGCAGGGAGACATATATGTGCATATGCAGGGATTAACAGCTAATAAGGGCAGAATAATGAATACATGCAGATCTGGGGAACACAGGTATATGCATATGTGACAGAATGGATGGTCTATGCATATATCAACAAGTAATGGTGTAAAATAGGAGAGTCAGATTCAGTATATGGATTAAAGAGATGGGGTCCTGTTTTGTCCTTGGACCATTGAAAGAAGGTTGAAGTTTTGGGGGCTTGGGTTTTTTTTCCTCCTCTAAGTTCACATTTCTATATTTTCAAAAAGACATCTATGTATATTTTAAGGTACCAAGATTACAGACAATATGGTGATGATATGTATTTCTATGTAATATATCATATTGGGAGATGTTTACGAGATATTTTGGAATGAAAAGAAAAGAGACAAAACAAAGTCAATTAGATGAACAAACTTTACAAACTAAATCTGTGGCAGATATGGCTGTAAAATTAGAGTCCCCATATATTTGTCTCTTCCTCCTTTACTGTAATTAACTAAAAACTGGACATGACTTACAGTAGGTGGATTGAGAAAAGCCCTTTCATTCAAACAACTAGATCGATAAAACTGTTTCATAGTTTTTAACTTAGGTACTATTTTAATTTAACGTTTAATTGATTTTAAACTTTATATGCTAGAAAAACAACATAATATAAGAATATAACTGCAAGAAAAGTCTTCATCAAGAAGTAAAGGAAACCAACACACAAATCTAAAGTAGTGCCTCTATTCTATATTCTATTGGCAGCCCTGAAAAATTAGTAGCACAGTTAAGGCTGGTGGAAAATCCTATGTAAAAATAATTTGGGGACAAGAACTCTGAAAATGGAAAGGAAAGCTTTAGCATCAGAGATGAGTTGCTTTCCTTTCATGCTCTCCTAAGATTTATTCAAATGACTTCCACTTAATGAGGAGAAAAATTAGTTCATACATTCAGAGGTTCATCGCAGAACTTGATAATCAAAAGTCATACTTGGATAAAAGAAAAAAATGTTTAGAAGCATGGTGCTTTTTAGCTCATTCAACATGGAAGCTCTTAATGAAAAATTGTTCTCACAATCTAGTCAGCCCATCAGTGTCTTAAGGGATTTTTTTTTTCCTTTGCAAATATTTACCTTTCTTTCGTGTGTCTGAGAACTGTTAAAATGTGTCTGTCAGATGGAGGAGAAAGAGAAGAAAAGGAGGAGGAAGAAGAGGAGGGGAAAAAGAGAAGAGAAGGAGAAGTAGGAGGAAAAGGAAGTGGAAGAGGAGGAGAAAGAGAGGAATAGGAGGAGAGGAGGAGGAAAATGAACTGATGTGCAGATGCTATATAAATAGTCAGCAGGTCAGATGAATGTGATCAAAGATTTACCAATGCTGTATGTATGTACAGAAAAAGAAAATTCATTAAAATAAGGCAGAACAAGACAGTCTGTTTCAACTGGAATCAGAAATAAAGCACACTCAAAGAAGTGTTGAGAAGGCAACTTTTGGATGCAGCCAGATGAATAAAAAAAGAAAGCTGAGAGTGGAAACAACAGCAAAGCAACAAGCAGGTGATGTCCAAAAGGAAAGGCACTTTCTTACCCAATTCGGTTATCATTAGAATCTGAACTCCACTGTTTTTTTCCTGATTGATTGAAACCAAAGGCAGAAGTTTGCCAGGTTTAGCTGGTGGGTTTTGAGGAGGGGAGGGGAGGGGGTTGGGGGAAGAAGAAAGCACAGACAAGAGAATAAAATGAAGGCGTGAAACAAATAAAGCTGAAAACCAAAGGGGAAGACAATAAATGGATGAAAGGATCACAAATCAAGCTCAGCTTTACGATCAGAAACATAGAGGCCTTGTAGAATTCACGTAGGAAAAAAAATGAGGATGAGTGAAGTGGCAGGATTCTCAGTGCTGCCGCAGAAATTGATAATTTATTTGAGAATGCCAGAGATGGATGAAGAAGACCTCCTTGGCTTCCAACATGCAGGGACGAAGGCAACTGGGTATCAAAGTATCACTAGCCCTTGAAATGGGTCTGTTCCCCTTAGTCACTCAACTTGTATCTGACTCCGAACAAAATATTCGGAGGGTCCTGCTCTAATATACATTAGGTAGCAGTGGTGGGATTTAGCTGGTTTGCACCGGTTCAAGTGAACCGGTTGTTAAATTACCCACCTCACCACCACCACCACCACCCCAGCAAAGTGGATCCTGGGCGCTGCACTGTGCTGCAATGGAGAAACAAGCAACTGAGCAGCCAGGATCCACTGATAGTAGGGGTGGGGGTAATTTAAGAATCGGTTTGGCAAGGTTCAGGTCAGGTTGGCCATCACAGGAAGCTTGTCCCACATGTGTGGCCGAGCTGGAAGATGAGGATGGGCCATGCCTCCCACAACAGCCAACTGGTAGTTAAATTATTTGAATCCCACCACTGCACTACGCAGCCCTTGAATTATATCCACAAGTGGGACTTTCATGCCCATGGCTAAGCAAAGTGATGATTAAGATAGTCACATCCCATTTCAGGATCTATTTGCCATGGTTGTTAAGCAAAATCACAGCAGATGTTAAAAGGATCAGGTTGTTAAGCAAATCAGGCTTCCCCCCCATTGGCTCTGCTAGTCAGAAGCTGTCTTGTTTGTGGACTACAGACCTTTCCTTGTGGACTTTGAATCTCATTTATAGACTATGAAATCCCTCCTCGCCTTGTGAATTGGCTCTGGAGACTATTGGATCTAGTTTGTGGGACCAGGTTGCACTGACTGTGGGTGGCCGCCTTTGGGAAAGTTTGGGGTACAAGCTTTACTGGCTATTGTAGGTCCATCTGTTGCAGGATAGTGGTGCCATAAAAACTTTTATGGGTGCCTGCAGCTGCATATGTGACCTGAGTCATAATAGTTGATTATTATCAAGTAACAGAAATAAAATGATATTGCTTTAAAAAAGGATCTTGCTTAATCATTGTGCGTATATGTGTGCACCTCCGTATGTATGTGTGTGTATTATTATTATCAGTCAACTGGAAAAAGAAGGTGTCTTCATGAAGGTTACAGGCTATCCTATCTGGTCTAGTGGGAAATAGAGTCACTTGACTTCTAGAGAGAACATGACTGACTCAACTCCAGTTGTCTTCTGCACTTCAAGGAACACTAGAACTTCTTAGTCCATCTCTTTAAACATTACACACCACCAGTTGTGTTGTTCCACTGAGAGAATCACCCAGCTGGTTTCCATGCTTAAAGAACACTGACAGCATCTTCCTGCTGCTAGTCCAGCAACTTAGCAACTACAATATTGGCTGTATGTGTATGTTGGCTTTCTTGTTTACCTGGATATCTATATGAGCACGCCTGTTGTACAACCTTCAGGAGAAAATACTACATCTTTTTGCAGTGGCGCAGTGGTTAGAATGTAGTACTGCAGGGCTAACTCACTGCTCAATCCAGGAGTTTAATTCTAGGTGGCTCAAGGTTGACTCAGCCTTCCATCCTTCTGAGGTGGGTAAAATGAGGACCCAGATTGTTAGGGGCAATAGGCTGACTTTGTAAACCAGTTAGAGAGGGACATGAAGCACTGGGAAGCAGTATATGGAGGAAGGAAGGAAGGAAGGAAGGAAGGAAGAAAGGAAGGAAGGAAGGAAGGAAGGAAGGAAGGAAGGAAGGAAGGAAG